ATTTAGAACATTGAGTAGAAATGGTAAAATTTAACGGTCGTTAATTTATTTTTTCTCTGACTTCTCTTTTTTTGTTAAATTGCTAATTATTATTTATGAAGTTTAAATGTCGTTTTAGTAAGTAGAGTGATATGTAGATTTCACTGCAATTTCGAAAATATAGGTAAAATAAAATTTAATTTGCGATGCAAACAAATCGAATTTTGATTGATGAAATTATGTTACGTTTTAATATTTTCCAATATTACAAATTTATTTAACGTATTGATATTTTTTTAGTAGGCTTACATATATATATATACAAGGAACTAGAAAATTAAATATATTATTTTCTCGATTAATATGAAAAAAGAAAAAAAAGTAATGAAATTAATAAAATAATATTTATTCGAAAACTGGGACAAGAACATTAACGGCCTTCCCAAAATATGATCGCATCAAAGTGTTTCTCCATGTAATCACTTAGTGGCTTCTAACTTCGTGAAAAATTCTTCTGAAGCGTCAAGGAAGTTCAATAATTCGGAAGAGGGCCAAGAAAGGAAAGCGCAGTTCTTGTGTTTCGCAATAACCTGAATCACGATCAGAAAATCAAATAACGAGAAGATAAATTAAATGCTTTTGTATACTTAATTTTAATCACTTTTTAGCCAGTTTCATATTTCGAATCCTGTTGCACTTTTAGGATCTCTTTGATCTTTCGAGTGCTGCATGTCAAAGTAAATTCGCGGTAATCCACAACCGCAATGTTTCCTTTGAGAGGATTTTTCATTGGTATTTAACCATGATTTTCAACCGTTTTTCATTAAATATAGTATCTTGATAACTTTTAGTAAGTTTTGAATAATAATTAATGTGTCTGTCTTCTGTATATAAAATTTCTTCTTTATTTTTTTTATTATTAATATTTTAATTACGTGTTATCAATGTTTTCTTTATTTTGCATTATAATATATTATTTGATACTATCGTATTAATGATCTGATAAGGAAAAAGCATGAATTACAGGATATATATGTGGATATATATGTATCTATTATCGTGATGCAATGTCTCGAAATTGGAATATACGGAAGAGAAAACGCGAGGAAGAAGCAAGACGATTCGCAGCTTTCGATTATTCGCTCGTTGTCAATTGTCATTACATCATTGTTGGTGGTTCCAGTCACACCAACTCTCGTGCTTCGTCGCAAAAACAATGGAATTGATTTCTCGTCGCGCGATTCCAGTAGTATATCGCCACTACATCCAGTATACGGCTATCAATTTTCCTATATATTCGAGAATCGGATCTGTGTTCCCATTATTCCGCCGAATAATACCAAGCCAATACTCTACCTCTCTTTCCCTCTCCCTTTCTCTGTCTCTCTCTCTTTTCTTCTGGCCTCATTATGAGGCGAATCCTTGACCCACTTTTCCCAAGCTTTTTCGATTCTATTTGTCGTCGCCTGACACGTCTCAGAGTGTCACTACTAGCACTACGTGAACATTTTCTGGGGACAAATTGAATCTGTCAACGTAACAAGAACATGAACAAATTTTATAAAGACTATTTTAGACGGACAATTTATATAATATGATATAGAAATTTAGAAGAAAAATTTATGTATAATTTTCTTACATATATTAGTTATTTATCAATAATTTGTGGAACAGGATATTATTCTCAATTAATATAAATTATTTATACATATATAATTTATCGATCTAATGCAGAACCAATTACATGAAAAATTGTCCTGAATATATTAAGATGTTGCATAAAAAATAGGCAAAAGAAATCAAGTATCGATTTGTGTAGGAATTACGTTATGTTGGCCGTTGTTAGAAAAAGAGAAATGCAGATAAAAGTTTTAAAGGAATTGAACGATATGACGGTCAATGAGAAACTGTCTCTATGTGCAAAGAACTCTAGCCATTCACATGGGAAGAAAGGAAGAAAGTTGACCTTAACCGGTTAGGTAGCCATTCTATTTTTAGCTAATGCACTAATACGAGACACATAGTTCGATTTGTATCGATCAATGATATAAATGTACGTAAAAATACGGCAATACTATAAAAATAAAATTTAATCTAGTTACAAAATTTATATTAGTATTCTTTTTATAATTTATTAAAAAGTAAAAAGAAATATACATTATTGCGTGTACATGAAATATATCTGTAAAAATTTTATACTTGTTTATAACAAATAAAAACAGAATGAAGAGTTATAATAAATTTCATCGACCATCATTAAAAATCATATCTTCAATTTTTTTTCATGAATCTGTTTAGAGTTTTCTAATTTCCATTTTTATTTTGTTTATAAACAATTAAATAAAAATTTTAAAATGTATGAATATCCTCTGCTTTTTAAAATTAATTTGGAATTTATTTTTAAAACTTCCATTTTTCCAAATTGAAGGAAATTTTATTCAGAAATGGAAAAGTTTTGAGTAGATTCCCAGTAGATTTTGAAGTTTAGACGATTTACTTTTAGCTTTATAAAATTGCGGCATTTTAACAATGAACGATTCAATACAGTTATTTCTATGTTATTTGCCCCTTTCGAATCGATAATGGAGGGAAGAAATCGTATAACCACGCGACTCAAGAGAGATCGCAATAAGGGGGAGGATCGTCCCCTTCTGGAAGCCTGTAAATCCATTCTTTCCTTGTCGATGGAAACAATTTCGACGTCAGTACGGTGCATGTAGGTCACCTCGAACAGAAAATGAGATACTTCGTTTCTTCCTTTCCACCCAGATACACAGACTGTTACAGATTTACTATTTTTTAACCAAGCTTTATGTACTTTTTATAATTGAAAAACATATTCCTCTTTTATTTTAACATTAATATTTTATATGGCAACTATTTTATATCAATTCAACAATGTAAAATTAAAAAAATATAATTACAATATAATTTGATGCATTTATCAAGAACAATATTTTATTTAACAATAAATATATCAAAAAATTAACAAAGAAGGAGCTTTTATTAACTTATATTATTAATTATATTATAGTTAAGTTCGAGTATACTAATTGAAATTATACCGTCCCTTTCTTTTATTAAGTCTCCATCAAATTAATTTATTAACTTCTCTCTCTCTCTCTCTCTCTCTCTCTCTCTCCCCCTCCCCCCCTCTCTCCCTCTTTCTGTTGATGAGTCCAATTTCAATTATATACAACAAGTTTATTATACTGCATTGATAAATTATGAAAACATCGATTTAATACAGAAAAATAATTGGAAGTTCTGATTAATTTTATATAATTATGATTTATTTTACCGTAATAACATTGGAATTGTCTGTTTAACGCAGGTACATCATTACAGCTCTGTGCGACTCGTGTGAGAGCGGCGACGTGGTGGTCGCGGCGGTGTTCTGGGTAGGCTATTTCAACAGCGCCCTGAATCCATTGATCTACGCGTACTTTAATCGTGAGTTTCGCGCGGCCTTTCGCAAAACCCTCGAGAGCTGTTGCCGTGCGATCGGGCCGGTACGCGATCTGCGCCAGGTACATCGCAAACAAGATCTTGTGCACAGCAATGCCTCATCCGAGTTGCACGTCAACAATCAGCTACGTAACAGCGAGATGACCAACGTCCACATCGAGGCGTGTATTTAAACATCGGGCGATCCGGCGAGATGAAAGTAACGACGGAATTCTCAGGAGCACTTTCCGAGTAGAAAATAAAATAAGAATTTAGAATCGCGCGCGAAGCGGCAGGTAGGACAGATAAGTCCAAAAATCAGGTCGATCAAAAATTCGTTCTTTATTTTTTCTATACGAAAGTAAGTTTAATAATTTTATATTATAATATTCTTGAAAAATGTCAAATTTAAAGAGCTAATTTTATAAATAAAAATACTTAATTTAAGAAAAAAATTAATTCTTAATATATAAGGAAAGATATAGCTTGATAGAAAATTTTTTTTTAAGGAATATAACATATTTTTTATGTTAACAAAATTAAAAGAATTGATTGAAATTTTTTTGATTAATATTATAGAAACATTGATATTCACTACTGCAGCTTTGTTTTATGATTTTCTCTGCGTCATCTCTACGAGGGAGACTTAAGTTTGAAAAAATTCAGGGATATAGTAAAACATAAAGAAGAATAAGGAAGAAAATATTTCAAACAATTTATCATTGAAATTAAGACTGTTCAAGGTACACAAAGAATTTATCATTAAAATTAAGATCGCTCTAAATTCATAAAGGGAAATTTCAAGTCGTTAAAGTTAAGATTGTGAAGATATGCGACGATGTATTCGCGCCAAGTATTTGCAAGTGCCAAATACTTGCGATTTGCCAGAGTGAAGTTTATAGTCCCAAAGAGAGCGTGAATAGAGTATGTACGCCATACTCGTGCCTATTTCGTCCTGCGGCCGACCTATTTTAAGGGACACACTTGCCGCTCGTCCCCAAGGATCTATTTCTGTCTCGGCAATATTCCATCGGGTCCGTAAATAAGGCTGCTGTCCGTCAGCAGATTGATGTTCCGATTCGGCAGTAATATTTTAGCGGTGGTCCGATAACGTCGAAATGAACTTTCGAACTGACGTTCGATTCGTGCACGAACTTCTATTTCGCTATGATTGGCATCATGTTACAACAAATTAAGTTTCTGTTCCGAAATTGATCAAATAATATGATGAATATCAATAGAACGTAATAATATAATATATCATAATAATAGATTAATTTTATGTCTATATTTATTAACACATTTGAAACTTATAAAAGAAATCAATTATGTTCTCTCTATTATTTTTGTTTATAATTTACGGATATCTTTGGATATATATTAATTGAAAAATTAATCTTAATTAAACTTAACTAAAATTATATGCCTTTTAAAGATTTTTTCTGAATAAGACATTAAATTTAGAATTTATTGAATAATTTGAAAGAAAGCATGAAAGGATTAATTAAAAGGATCTGGTGGTCTGAAGCATTCTATAGACCTTCTGTCCCGCGATTGGAAGGAAAGCGAAGAAAAAGACAAAGAGACCAAAGAAAAGGGTTGGAAAGGCTGGAGATAAAGCCGTTCTACTCATTTAGGGGATCACTTTGTACATAATTGCGCTGCGACAGCGCGTTTCGTTATAATCAAAGAGATTTATAATAACGAGCGCTTAGCGTTAAATGATATATTATTGTAAATACGAATCTGCGTCCGTTTAGGCTCGAATAACTTCGTGTATAAATGTTAAAGCGTATCATTCTTCCCACAAGACAAATCGTTGTATCGGAATAAATAAATTTACGAGGGCATCTTATTAAAAAAAGGATCACTGAAATGCCAAAGATGAAGTAGAAAATATATATATATATATATATATATATATATATATATATATATATATATATATATATAT